TGCGAACAACAGTGCAGAAAAAGTTTCTAGGACAGAGTTTTCCTTCCTTTTTTCTCTTTCTCTGCGAACGGAAGGAGAGGAACGGATGAAAGGCGTGTGCGCGAGCACGGGAATCAAAAAAAAAAAAGGAAGAAAGACACACACGATACCGCGAAAGGGGTGAATGACAAACGAAAGATGGCCCGTGTCGTCGGAAATAAACGTGTCAGAGGCGAGGATATATAGGCGGGGAGAAAGGAAGAAAGTTCACTACGTGGGGTTCCGTAAACCCGCGTGTAAATATGGTCTCGTATCGGACGGCAGTGACAGCCGAAACGCGGAGGTCCTTCGGGAAGTCATGGGGAATTTCCTTCACAAGGTAACCGCGCGACAATACTAACTTTGCCGATTAATCTTTCCGCTCGACGTCCCGTCGATAGATCGAACTCGCGAATTTCTTGAATTTTAGTTCGAAGAAAACCCTTCTAAGAGTGCGTTAACCCTGTCGTTTCTAAATTACTCAGCAGCCTTCGGAAAAAGATAATTTTGTTGCGTGTAAGCAAGCGATTCGTAAGAATATTTGAAAAACATTCAATGGAACGAACGCACAGATTTCTTTTAATTTTCTTTCAAGAAGAACGGCGAGGTTTTTAACCCTTTAACAGTGCGTTAACCGTTTCCTTTCCGAATTATTCAACAGTCGTAGAGAAAACATTTCTTCGTATTTTCGTTGCGTGCAAGCGATTCGTAAAAAGTTTTTCGAAAACATTCGACAGAGAACGAACGCACGAATTTTTTATGATTTTCTTTCGAGAAGCGCGGAGAGATTTGTAACCGTCGTTCGTTTCCGAATTATTCAACCGCGATCGAAGAAATATTTCGACGAAGTGCAAAATTCAACGTGCGAAAGGGAGTATATATTTCTTTGTACGAAAAATTCAAATCCTTACATTTCTCAGACGTGCTAAATTGTCAAAGGGTTAACCCAGTCGATAATCACACTAAATTTCACAAAAATTTTTCGTTCCTCCCTTGGAGCAGCACCGTTCCGAATTGTAAAAAGAAGAAAAACTGTCCTCACTGGTAGAATCTCGATCTTTATCCACTGCATGTGAACTCGACCGTCTTTTCTCTATTCCCTCACGAGTAACGCGATCGGAGGAGACATCGGACTGCTCTACAACCGAGCGACTTTTTCGTCCGCGTGAGCCACGGTGCGCTCATAACTGTTCTTGGCATGGTTTCGCGAGCGCGACTGGCGCGAGATCCGGCAAAACAAAATCCTATCTCCCTCCCCGCCGCCGTTTATATTTTATAATTAGTCCCAGCGGGCGAACAAGTTGCGCAATTTTCTGAAAAAAGAAATCCGCGGCCCCCCGATCAGCTGACTCTCCTGTTCAACGCGAAATCCACATCAGTGAACGACGATTGCTCGTGTCGTACGCGGACCCCGTATCTCTCTAACGCCACGAGTGAAGGATAAAAAAGATAATAGAAAATGGAGTATATCAATAAGCTGCTGCATCGTGCTGCCGCGATCCCGACAAGGACGTTGCCGTCGCCCACGTCGCCGGTATTTTGCGTAGTCTGGCCCGATTCAATATATGTATATATGTACACCGGCCGCCCTTTCTCGGTTTTGTGAATTGGCATTCGAGTCGCGTAGTTTTCTTTGGGCTCGTTGGACCGTTAGCTTTAACGCGGAGAAATTTCACGTTAATTAACGCGCAAGGCGTGTGCGATATATAAGGTTCAGGGATTGAACGAGTTCAGGGTTGACGTGAAAGATCGAGATTTCGTGCACTTGGAATTGTCACTAGCTTCTCCAGATTCTCAGTAGTATCGCTTTTATTATGCATACGCGGGGATAATGAGAATTACTTATGGAATAAAATTCATTCGAATAATTTTCAACGTAGTTTAACCCTTTAAATCCCAGTTGGATTCCAGAGTCCTATATATTCTAACGAGTTTTTGTTAACCTTGTAAGTTCGAGGGTGTTTTAAACGTGTCGTAGCAATTTTTCGATGGTTGAAATAGTCTACTTTATATTTGGAATTGAGAGTCTACTCGTTTGCGTGAAAATGTGAAAATCATGAATTTCTGGAGTCCAACCTGAACTTAGAAGGTTAATCCTTTCTCTGTAGAAAAGGTGCCTAAAAGCTGCATCGATCGGTGCACGCAAAAATATAAAAAAGATGTAATTGCATAAAAATAATATGGAAATATTTTTATATGAGACACCCTGTATATACGTAAATAGCAACTATTTTAACACTTCACTATAGCAATGTCCTCTTTCTCTTCGTTAAAAGAAGGAATATTATTGTATAAAAATAATATAGAATTATTTAACTTGTTCCATACATATAAGACACCCTGTATGTACATAAATTGCGATTATAGTAACTCTTCATTTTAAGAATGTCCTCTTTCTCTTCGTCGAAAGAAAGAATGTAATTGTATAAAAATAATGTATAAATATTGAATTTGTCCGATACATAGGAGACACCCTGTATATACGTAAGCTGCGATTATCTTAACACTTCGATTTAGCAATGTCCTCTTTCTGCCTTACAGAGTACCAACGAGAATACTGCGTCGAAGAACGCCGAGCATGAGGTGAAGGTTCGATTTGCTCGCGAGTTCGCTGACGTCGGATCGATCACCTACTCGGCTCCGGAAAGTCTATCCTCGGCCAGCAGTTTCCAGAGTCTCAGTAGCACCCTCAGCACGAAGAGCAGCAGCGGTATCTGCCCAGATTCCGTGCCCCAGAGCCCTAACCAAACTTTAAACACCTCTTACGTCAATAGAAATATATCTGGCGTGGAAGATTTGATCCTCGGTTGCGCAGAAATCCATTTAAACAGCGACGACGACCGCTCGTACGACACTCTAGAGAACTCTCAGGATCTCAGCCAGGATCAGACGTTCGCGTCTGCCACTGACGAGATTCTAGCTGATCTTACCAGAGACCTTGCCAGCGAAATCTCGTTAACAGACTCGCAGAACGCGACAGAAAGTATAGATAGCGTGTCTACGACTCGCGAGTCCACGTGTTCGCCTCTTAATCGTACACAGGATATCCGGGACCAACCTATAGTAAACACCATATGCGTAAGAGAGCCTCTGCCGGTTGCGATTATAAAGTCTGATAGGAGGAACAGCTTTATAAAGGTAGAGCCATTCGTGGAGAGATCGATTTCTCCGCATAGGAGTAATGATTTCAACAGCAATGACTATCAGATTAGTGGAAGCTGCTTGAATACTGTTGAAGAGGCACCAGCGCCTCAGTGTCTCAGCAGAGAGAAGTCTAACTTGGATTCGACTGTATGGTCATCGCTTGATAAAGAAATTCCGGATATATCGAAGGGAGAGGAGCACAGTGTGCTAGGGAATAATACGTCAGAGGCTCAACCTTTGTCTCTAAGTTCTGTATCCTGTCCTCTTGTAAACTCTATTGATAATTCAGTATCTGTGTCAACGGAACATGCGGAGGAGCCGTCGTTGCCAAGTATATCGACGTTGTCTTCCTCGTTAATCGCCTTAGATTCACCGAAATTGTGTGAAAGCGATGCGCGAGATGATAGGGACAATGTGAAGAGCTTGCTGACTAGGTCACCATCTCCAGTAAATAATTCTAACGCTGTAGCACCCTTGTCTCCACGAATCGGATCGAAGAGTCTTGTTCAAGAAGCGCGGAATAAAAGCTTTACTCTGATAGAGTCGTCTTCGCCTGATCTTTGTAACGATGCTACAAACTGTGAACAGAGTTGCGAGATTCGTTTAAACGACACTCCTATTGTAAGGCCAAAAACGCCTGAAGTTCAGGAAAATTTATGTACGAGTATTGATAAGGAACCTGAGATTGGCAGTGTTGTTGTTAACAACGTCGAATTTTCTCCTCTAAAGGAGACTAGCCTACATGTAAATGTTGTAACTTCATCTAAGGAGGAGATATCGAATAACAAATTAGATGAATCTCTGGGCAAAAGGAGCGACGAAGATCTTGAAAAGGTGGATGTAATAAAGTCGTTAAACGAGGAAGAAAAGAAGGAAGAAGAGGAACAATCTTCTGATGATAAATTGGACGCGACTCTGACGTTGCAGGATGCTTCATTGATCTCAAAGACTGTGCCAGAGGTGGAACTGTACACAGACTTCAAGCCGGAGCGACAGAGCACCACGTTATCTACGTTGAATATCGAGGAGTCGAATTTCGACGAACTGAAATCAGCCGCTGAACAGGTGGCCAATGATATTTTCAAGTCTTCGTTGGAGCTTTCCGAAGAAACTGATCCTTTCATCAGCGCAGCATCCGAAAGTGAGTGTCTTTTAATTGTTGAATTTATTTACGTGACTAATACGTGTGTCTCTTAACGGTGAATTTTACCACACAGTCTTCCAAGATCCTACGAGCTTCGATTATTTTATAAATCACGGCAACGCGAAGACTGTCAATCGTTTGAGAACCGAGTCCTTGTATGTGAAGTTCGATCCGTTGGTGGGGAATACCACCATGTTACCTCAAGGAAATATTCAGCCCATGAATGAGGAGCAAAACGGAAAAAGCGAGAACGTACCAGCAAATATTGTTACTCCTAAACGTAATCCTGCCATAGCAGCTATAGATAGGCTACTTTTTTATAGTCCTATTTCTACCAGTATGACGCAGAAAACGGATGAACCTCAAGAAAAGGTTGCTAGCAAAGTACGTTGGAGTTCTATAAATATTATAGTGCATTTGCTAATGTGTTGTTAGAGGAACCATGCATATTTCTGTTTTAATTACGTAGGAACAGCCCGTAGAAGAGCCTAAGTCAGACACTCCACTCATTACCGACGTTAATATGAGCAAAGAATTAGAATTGGTAAGGTCAACGGTATTACAGTTAGAGGAGGAATTAGAGAAGCAAAGGAAAGAGTACGAAACTGAATTGGAAAAGCAAAAGAACACTTTTCAAGAGAAAATTAACAAATTACAAGCACAAATAGCGCAAGAAGTAAAAAGTAAATCTCAGATGACGTAAGTTACATATTATCCGTGCAAGGTTATGTCCGTAGTACAGTGGAAATAATCAAAACATTGATTTCAGGGTCGTAGTCGAAGAATACGAGAAATCGATTAGTCGGCTGCTCACAGAGAGAGAAAGAGATCGTACGAATTTCGAACAAGAGAAGGCAAAGATCCAGGAGGAATTGCAAGCGACGAATGTTCATTTAGCCAACACGGAGGCTGCTTTCAATGACGTACATCAAAAGTATGAGAGGCTGAAAGGTTTCGTATCTACGTATAAGAATAATGAAACAGTATTGAAAGAGAACATTCAGGAGAACATGGAAACCATAAAGGACTTGGAAACACGGTACGATCAATTGAAGAATCATGCTATGACACAACTTGAAAAGTAAGTATTTAAAGGAAGTTGTAATATTGTTAATTAATATTGAAAAAAAGGAAACACGTTATATATATCCTCTCAACATTTTAGAGCTAACTTCGAGTTAGATGCTATGCGAAAACAGCATGAAGATGAAACGGTGAAACTTCATGCAATGGTGAGGAAAGCAGAACTTAAGAGTAATTCACTGGCCGAGTTGGTCGAACAAAAGACTAAAGAAAATAAGGAACTAACGCAAATATTGGATGAGGTGATCGCCAGGGTGGGCCACCAAAATGCGGAATAATCAGCGGATGGAAAAAAATAATAATAATAAACAAGCATCGCGAACGCAAACGCGATTAGTCTTTATTTTTTTACCCCTTAACTTTTTAGACACAACCATATGCTAGGTATGATTGATGTATATGTACACATGCGTTGTTTCTAGAGTTATAAATGCCAATTATGTTTCGTTTCAGAGAAGCACCTTTTATTAATTATTTATAAGTTGTGAAATATATATATATATATACTATTTTACCGCTAATAAAAAAATAGGCATATTAAAAACAACCTCTCATTTTATGTTTTATGCAGTAAAAAATATCTTAGTATTCACACATCACGCGTTAATGTTCCACGCGATTTGTTATAATACACTTCAATACAAATATCTCACTATATTCATTAAATAAAATTCATTGTTTATACATATACCACCCCGACATACGAATACCAATGTTTGTGCATTGATTTCTGCGATAAATAACGAACCTTACGCAAAGTTTAGTCAATTTCTCTCGCCTATATCAATGAGTATTGTTAATCCGTTGGTCTTGCATCCATCACAAAAAGGACGTGATGTTTTGCTAATTTTAACATACGATCACTTGTACTCCCTGGCTTGCGGGGAATATTCTTATTGTCAAGATCAGGCATAAGTTTCTTTATGGTTCGCGCCAAATTTGTAGCATACTGCTTGAATTGTGGATGAGTCATACCTATTCCCTTACTTCGTAAAGCTTCCGCTACCGCCCATAGTAATTTCTACATTTGAAACATTTGAAAACACTTGCATTATATTACACAATAAAAGATAATTGTTTAAATGTATTTTTAAAGACTTTGAAAGAGGAATACCTTTCTATGGTTATCACTAAGCTCGTTTCTACTTTCGGCTAAGGATGGCTTGGTCTTTTCAATTACATTACCAGATGAATGTCGATCCCACGAAGGACCCGTGTTATTATGTAGTTCGTGAGAACAATCGAAAGACAAACTCTTCGCCCATTTGCACTGCGGCCTTTCTAATTCTTCTTCGCTTTTCCTTTTTCTCGATTCTTCAAGGACTACCTTTTGAGCGCCTTGAGAATCCTCCTCCTTTGTATTCTGCGTAAATAAAACACGCTTAATGTTTTGGAGATTTGACCCACTTGTTAACAACTTGCTTGGACCAGCTCGATCCAGAGGCGGAGGACTTTGAAAAAGAGCGCGTTTTGATGTTTCGATTTTGGACATCAATGGACTGGGTCCATCCAAAATGAGCCGTCGAGCTATTCGTTTTTTCGTCGAACTCCTGGGAGTTCCCCTCGGGCTTTTACCTCGTGGACTTTTACCCCTTGGACTTTTCCCTCTGGGACTTTTGCCTTTTTTAATAGTGGGTTTTCTATATTAAAACAAAATTAATTTTACATTTTAAAATATTAAAACTCTTTCGAAATATAAACCTTTAAGTTCCGTGCGTACTTAATATTTAATACTACAAGCTTCTTATTGTTCACTGCTAATCCTTGCAAATTTGCACTAGAGAATACTTTCCGCCTTCTTGTTAAATGACTTAATCTTTTTCCTGGACTTTGGCCGTTATTACGTTTGGCCAAAAGATTTCGTTTTTTGGCACTGCTTGGTGCTGGTTTAGAGAACCATACAGTACAAGTGGATTGGGTTTCAGCCCCTATATACCTTTCACATAATTTTGGCGTGAGACCTTCAAATTCCTCAATTGCTTTGTTCCTGTTATAACTAAAATGATATGAAACTTTATTACTGTTTTACATATATTATAAACTAGGATATACATTAATGTACTCACTGGATTCCATGAAATTTGTGATGATATACTTCAGGCCACTTCAAAGAGGTAGCTCCCTTTTCATCAATAGTGTCATAAAGTAATGATTGTCTTTGTATAGAAGGAAAAGACACTTGTTTTGTTTTATTCTCAGTTACAGTTTCTTGTACCTGTTCAGGGTTTAAAACTTTTGTTCCACTTGCACTAGCATTGACTATGCTTTTCTCATTGTTAGGAACTATTTCCTCTATTCTAAAATTATCACTGCAAGTGTTATTTTTTAAGCCTATTGTATCTATATTATTACTAATATTACTTTGATATTGTGGATCACAAGCGTCAAAAGCAGTACTTAAATTTCTAGATGTGCTTTTGGTACGTTGATAAGAATTATTTGTACTAATATTTTCTTTCTGCTGTTCTAGGGATTCTGCATTTAGATCTTGTTGCACCTGTTTGTTTGATAAAACACATGGTGTCCAAAATAGATGTTGATTCTCATAAATGCGTAATAATAATTCTGAACAGTCTGTTCTGCAAATTGTGAACTTGGGTGGTGGAGGTACACCACTTAAAAGTTTGTTAATTTTTCCTAATAAATTGTTATCAGATGTAGCAATTAAGTCAGCTTGAGAAGGTTTTTGGGGACTAGCTATCACTGGTACTTCATGTGCTAGTGGTTCATTGTTCTTTTTGTCATCATCATTATCACTGTCGAACATCTCTGGACTAGAGATGTTCGCAAACTCTTTCTCAGTTTTGGAACTTCCATCTCTATTGGGATAACAGCAATCCATGGCATTGTCTGTGAGGAAAAATGTACGAATTATATAATAACAACAATTTCTTAATTTGTTGAAGAATCGAACATTAATGGTTGTTAACAATTTCTTGTAATACCAAGGTCACTATTCAATTTAAATAACTTGCTCTGTTTTCACATCATTACATTTTTCAAAGTATTAAAGGGATTACTACGGACTCAACTGTGTCGCATATATTTACGTACAAAAAGTTCGTTACAAGTAAAGATATTAACTAACCTTGTAGAAAGTTGCATATTAACGCCAAAATTTTTATACGAATGCAATGTAAATGTTTAATTTATTTGTATTTTTTCCGTGCGTCATTTATCATTTCGATAAAAATCAATGTCAATGACGATAAGCCTGTTGCTTCGTTAAGATTTAACGTGATACCATACACATCGTATCTTTGTATTTTAAAATGGAATACGCGTAAAAAATCCTGGCATACTGTGCACAGAAATTCGAATATACTTACGTCTTTTAGTAAATCGACGTTCAAGTGTTCCTCGCTCAATAATTTATTGGCTAGTAGCCAGATTCATCTGTTTTGATTTCCTTATGCCAAAAGCAGCACTGCTCACTACGCATAATACTATCGCGTACGTCATAATCTGACGACAGCATGTCTATCCTTAAGGCTGTTTTTCGTTCCACGTACTTTCACTGAGAACTTGCTTGGTTATCGCTATGAATGTAGGGCAGTATCAGTTATTTTTTCGACGCTCAATATCTGAAAGATAATATTATCTCAAACCGTAGTTACGGGACAGTCGACAATTCTAAACGTAGCTGAATAGTGATATTTACGTGTGTATATAACGCTAGTGTGTTTTGTGTTTTGACGTTGGTTAAACGTCCGGGGAAACAACGATAATTACGTGTATATAACTAATGTGTTTAGTGCAAAATCTCGCATTTTTCAACGTTAATTGTATTTTTAATACGAAATATAGAATGTTTAAAAATGCTTAAAGTGATAATACTGTTTTTATAAGATTTCTGCTGCAGGATTGACAGATGACATTCGGTAAGTCTTTCACCAATAAATAATTTTTTTTTATTCAACATATATTTATTATAATAAAATTTAACGAGACAAAATCATTATGACAATCATAAGAAATTAAAATAAAAATTTCTTTCTAAATGCTGGCTATATTTAACGAAAATTCTACAAATATGTATTTAAGAAATTTTATTTAATAACTTGATGGTCAAGGTTATATGTTGAAGCACATTGTATTCTGTCAGTGTACATGCTGATTCATACATCAATTCTTATTATTTATTCATTGTACTTTTATGAACTTTCAATGGCATTGTGTAACTTAACTATTTATATACACAAAACACATAGACTTATTACAAAACACATAGATTGATTACTTAAAATTAAAAAATTTTTTAAAGTACATAATTATATTATACTTAAATCATCAAAATGGGAAGTACAATTAGAACTTTTGGCTTACTTTTGTATAAAAATCTACTAATAAGAAAGAGACATTGGAAAATGACAATATTCTTACAATGTTTAGTACCTATTACCTTGTTTATACTCATACAAGCTATGAGAGATTTTAGTGTACAACCACCACGTATTATTAATGAAAGTACATATTATCCTATAGAAACCAAAGATAAATTGACATACTTAAACAGAGAATTTACTGTTTTATATTATGTACCACAGAATTCTTACACAGAAAGTATTTTAGAAGATGTTCGAATGTGTTTGAAACTGCCAAAAGAAAGTAATTACATTTAAGCATTTAATACTTTATATAATTTTACTTCATCAATATTTCAAACTACAATAAACTTTTTTATTCAAAATATTTCATAGATGTAAAGGGATTTGCAACTGAAAATGATATGATTATGGCTTATACAATTTTAGAAGTTAAATCTCCAACTTCTGAAGTTTTAGCTCTTGTGCTTGAACAGTATAATACAACTGATATAAGATATAAAATTAGACATGCCTTTAAAATTCCAAATATATTGTTCCAAAAGATGTTTGATCAACCCGCATATAATGCACATACTATATATTTCAATGCTATACCATTTGTGCAATTGCAAATGTGTGCTGATGAAACTTTTATAAATCACACAGCATCACATCCTATGATGGATACAAAGGTATAATACATACATAGTGTTAAGTACAAGTATTGCTGATGCTTTGTATTACTTAATTTATATATTTTTAGGTGTCATTACAAAAAATGCCTTATCCACCATTTATAAAAAGAGATGAGTCAGATATAATATTAAGACTGGCAATATGCACATTTGCAGTGATTGGTTTTTTAATTCCACTTTGTGTGGAAACAAATTATTCAACAGCAGAAAAGAACATTGGTGTAAATGTTTTAATGGCTATGAATGGAGTAAAGACTTATCAAAATTTATTAAGTTGGTTAATCACTGGCATTGTATTTAGTATATTTTATGTAATACCAATAATAGTATTATTTAAAAATACATTTACTGGGAATGTTGATCCATACTTGTATTACAGCAATGCTTTTATATTTTGGCTAATACTTACAGTACATGTTGCTCATTTGATATCATTTGGTATGCATGTTGCTGCATATTTTTCAAAACGTAAGTTCTTCTGAGGAAAAATAAATGCTATTTAGAAGATTGGTTAGGTTTATTATATTGGTAACTTATGATACAATTTTTTTCTAGCACATTTTGTGGCATCAATAATATCAATTATTTATACTGCTTCACTTTCACTCCATGGAAATTTAATAAGAAAGGAAGTCTTTTCAATAATACCATATTTAGGTGTAATATTTCCAAATATACTGCTGTATAGGTTCTTTGAAGAAGTAAATTCATATGAAGCTCTATGTGTGTAAAGATTTTTTCATTATCTATAATATAACAATGTTTTGTAATTCATTGGATACTAAACGTGGTGAAATTTTAGTAACTGGAATTCAATGGTCAAATATGTTTTTTGTTGGAGATGTACAATATAATATTTGTGGGAGTATTGGATTTATATTGATCTTTTCTATTTTGGGTACTTTGTTACATTTTTCTCTTGCTGTATATATCAATGCCATATTTCCCGGAAAATATGGAGTTCGTAAAGAACCGTTGTATTTCTTGAAGGTAAATTTTTTATCACATTTTTGAAGATATATACTATTGATTGTGTTTATAATAAAAACAAATTTTCTAGTATTTAAGAAAGAATAAAGTATGTCTTGATGAAGACATAGAGGATTTTGATTATGATACCATAGACAATGAGAATTTCGAACCAGTCGCGAAAGGTGCACTTACTCCTGGTATTCAAATCCGTAATCTGAAGAAAACTTATAAAAGTATTTTTTTGCGAAAGTCAGTAAGTTTCTCAATTTACAAAATTTGATCGTAAAATTATCATAATTCTCTATTATCTCCGACAAATTATACCGTTAATGTACAACAGGCAGTCCATGCTGTAAAGGGAATTACAATGGATTTGTATAAAGGACAAATAACAGCTTTATTGGGACATAATGGTGCTGGAAAAACCACACTTATGTCCATTCTAACAGGTAGTAATATAACTTCCATTAAGACAAGTATGTATATCTAAAGGTTTTTTTTATTAAACACATTTTATTAGGTGTAATAAGTGCAACCAGCGGTAAAGTTCTTATAAACGGTAAGAACATACAGAAACATTTGGAATTTATCAGAAACGATTTGGGATTATGCCCTCAGGAAAACATAGTTTTTCCGGACTTGAGTGTATTCGAGCAATTACAATTCTTTGGTCTAGTAAGTATTTAAATAAAATTAAATAACGTTTAAATATAAATAATAATCTAAACCGCTTAAACTTTTAGTTGAAAGGTACAAATAAAACAAGGAAAGAGATCCAGAAAAATATTAATGATTTACTCGATAAATTAAAGTTAAACGAAAAAAGAAATGTTCTTCCCAGCACATTGTCTGGAGGACAAAAGCGAAGACTGTGCTTAGGAATGGCCCTCATCGGCGACGCTAGCATCATAATTTTGGATGAGCCAACGTCAGGAATGGATCCTGAAACTAGAAGGGACATATGGGATATAATATTAAAAATCAGAGGAAAGAAAACAATTTTGATTAGTACACACAATATGGAAGAGGCTGATATACTTGGAGATCGAATCGCCATCGTGCACGGAGGTCGATTAAAATGTTACGGCACGTCGATGTTTCTAAAAAAACTATACGGCTACGGCCATATAGAAGTTACACTGTCTACGAAATCGTGGTGTAATGCAGAGAAAGTAATAAATAAATTCGACCCAAGGACGCAACAAATAAGTGTGGACAACGAGAAAATTGTCCTGAGCGTGCCTAACACTGAAACTTTACCTCAGTCTTTAGACAAAGTTGAGATCGAGAAAAAGAATTTGGGAGTTACAGGGATCAGCGTGTCGCTAATTACATTGGAAGAAGTATTCTTGAAGGTAATTAAAAATAATGATAATGGAAAACATCTGAACGAATTATTTTGTCTTTCAACGCAAAAAGTAGAAGGGTGGAGTCTGTGCATACAGGCAATTTCTGCATTGTACTCCAAGAAATTTACTTATATCAAGAAGAACTTGTGTAACGTATTACTGATGTTGTTTCTGCCTCTTTTATCAGTGGTATCAATGGCTTTGAGCTACGATGCACCTAGTGACTCGACAAACTTGTTTCCAATGGAACTTAACATGTACAGGCATCCAAAGGTTTTGTACTCGTCTAAAAATGAAACTATTGGTAAAGGGTATAGAGATTCAGTAAAATTTTATGGCGGATCTGTGACAGAAGTGGAACGCAATACAAGCGTCACGCAAGCTTTGTTGGATCACGCAGTTCAGGATATCGCCGAGTTTCGTAACAACTACATAGTTTCTGCAGAATTTAATATCACTAATGACGTCTTGTACGCTAATGCTTTTTACTCTGGAATCGCAATCCATAGTGTACCATTAACCATGAATTTATTGTCGAATGCGCTGATCAAAAGTGCATCTGGTGGTGAATATTCTATTCACGTTTCCAGTCAAAAATTACCAAATGCCTTGTCTTCAACAATAGTGTATATGCCAGAAATGGAATCATTGTGGAGAGTATTAGTCTTTTGCTGCTTTTTCTTTCCCACCGTAGCACTTTTTGTCATCCACCCTTACCAGGAAACCGAAACCAAAATGAAGCAACTTCAAAGAATGACGGGAGTCACGTCTTTCTCGTATTGGCTTACTATATTCTCCGTCGATATTTTAGTTCTTACGGCTACCATACATATTATTATACTCGGATTTTACTGCATGGATATTATCTTGGACATACGTCTATTCTACAGGATAGAAATACGTAAGACAAGACAAAGTATTATTGTGAACACACTGTAGATTTTGTTAGTGAATTCGGTTCACAATAACTTATATTTCTGTTCCTTTTCAGTGACATTGTTATTGTTGCTATTACTTTTTGGTATCAATTCCTTATTTATAACGTATATCTTCAGCTTTATCAATAAATCAAGGAATACTGTGTTAAGTATTTTAAATCTTGCACCGATTGGACTTGGTAAGTTGTATGGGTTACTAAATTCTGGGGAAAAAAAAATGAAAAACTTATCTTCTTGTATTCCAGTTTTACTACAATATCTTTTGCACGAGGTGATTCATAGTTTCGATAGTCTGAAAGTTTTACATTCGATTCAGAAAAGGCTGTTTCGTTTGGTGCCTCATGTGAGCCTATTCCATGGTCAATTATCTTTCTACAATGTAGCTCTACAAAACGCGAGGTGTCGTCGATTACCAAAACGATTGCAAGATATAGTTTGCTTGGGTTTAATGGATACTTGTTGCAGTACGAACATCTTAACAATGTACTTTAATATATTCCTCATTTTAGTAGTGTGAACTATTAACATTCTTCATAGGTTTGGAATGCGCGGATGGAGTGTGCAAGAATCAGCTTTCTTATTTTTCCAATTACGATAACGACATGAGTCTAGGAGAATGCGTTGTATACCTCTCTCTTACACCGCTGTTATATTTTGCCATACTTATCCTTCTAGAGGAGCGTGTACCTCATAAACTGTACGCTAAAATACTAAATCAAAATTTAAAGAACGCTTGCGACATAAAGGACGATCAAGTGAAAAAGGAGAAGCACACGGTGGCGCAAGAAATTAGAAAATTACAAAATCACGGTACTGTTTCCCAAAAAATTAGATTCATTTTTTTCTTTTTTGTAAGGAAACAATATTTAAAGAATTTAATATTTAGATGCAGCTAAGACAATAAGTAGGGAAGAGCCAATGAAGAGAGTTCCTACTGGTCAGGATCATTTCTTCGAAAGCCCGGAGGATAACAACGACAATCTGTTCTTGGTTTATGAATTGAGCAAGTATTACGGATCACTGATGGCAGTACAAGAGATCAGTTTTCGTGTGAAGCAAAGGGAATGCTTTGGATTGCTTGGCGTGAACGGTGCCGGAAAGAGCACCACGTTTAGAATGTTGACCGGTGAAGAGATACCAAACAGTGGTACCATGTACTTAGGAAAATCAGAAATTCATGCTGATAGAAAAAATGTAATAAATAATTCTTCTTGTTCTCCATTTTATTGTTCCTGTTATACATTTATTATATATTTTTTCTCACAGTATCTTTCACAAATGGGATATTGTCCACAAACTAACGCGATGGTCAATTCTTTGAATTCATTCGATCATTTGCGATTGTTCGCCTTACTACGTGGCATACCAAAATCGAAGGTGGACTTAGAAGTGAGCAAATGGATCAATCGACTCGGTAAATTTCCATAATTTTTCTTTTTATTCAATTTAAATAAATAAACATATTGATAGAAAATATTTATTGCATCAGATTTAAATGCTTGTATGCATCAACCAAGCGGAACTTATAGCGGTGGGAATAAAAGGCGGCTGAACATTGCGATGGCGCTTATTGGAAATCCCACTCTCGTTCTGTTGGATGAACCAACAACAGGAGTGGATCCAGCGGCCAGAAGGTCGCTCTGGAATGTACTTCAATCGTGCCAAGCAATGGGACAGGCGATTATACTTACTTCTCACAGGTACTCTACTTGACTCGGTAATACGTGTTACTGGAAATGTTGTACAAGTTGATTTGCATAAAGAAAAAATATATTTTCAATAGCATGGAAGAATGTGAGGCTTTGTGCAACAGACTAGTTATTATGGTGAAAGGTCAATTGGTGTGCATCGGGCCAAGTCAGGAATTGAAGCAACGATTTGGCGCTGGTTACGATATTCACGTTAAATTGAATCCCAATCGGACGGACGATGATGTCAGTAACATAAAGAGAACTATGGAATCTTCTTTATCGTGTGAAATTAGGGATGAGAATCTGGTAATGATTCTGAGTTTATGTGAAACATTTTGCGGATGTATTTGTTCAGTTCTCAATGATATTATTTTATCCTGTAATTCGTAGGGTTTCATCGCGTACCATGTGAATGATATTGGAATGACGTGGGAAAAGATGTATAATACAATGAACGATTTGAAAGGACGATTCAGTTGTATCGAGGATTACGCCGTTTTATCGGCCACGTTGGAACAACTTTTCATTCATTTCGCCAGGGGAACTGAATTAACTAAGCCAGAGGCGCCTACTGTAGACTCTACGACCCAAACAGTAGATGTATAAATATTGTGTCATTTTAGTGACGATTTTCTCAGTTATTAAGTCATATTTTGCAAGCGCTTGTGAAGCATTCCTGTGTAATATGTTAAACGTATTGCGTTATATTTATTTTCAAGAAAGTTGTATAAGTACATATTTTTCAAATAATAAAACTTATCTGAATGTAATATATTAATAAAGAACGTTTTAAAAAGAATATTTGAAAAATGTCACGAGGAAGGAAAGAATAACACCATAAATAAGGTATTCATATTTTATATAAATAAAAAAGTTACATAAACGATATATTCTTATGTACATACGTCCGCCTTTAAATGATATTACTGTAATGAAACAAGACTGATCGTGTAATACGCAATGACTTGTACGGTGTCCTCTAGTAATGGTAGCCGCCCGAGCTTGTTTGGTACGAGTTTGGACCCTGATACTGGCCACTACCTCCTCCTCCTCCTCGGCCACCACCACCACCTCCACCTCCACCGTTACCGCCTTAGAAAAATATAAATAAACATTAAGGTATTCTTCCACTGAAAATTTCCTAATTCAAATAACTCCACGCAAACGTCTACTTCAAGCGAGATACTATCGATGAAACTCACTGTAACCACCCCCTGGAGAGTATCCGCCTCCGCCTCCGTTGCCGCCGCCGCCACCACCGGAAGTATCTTGATTCTCGCCTCTAGCTTCTGCTGCGAGAGCTAACTCAACGCCTCGTTGAATTTCAGGCGGAATTGGAGGTGGAGTCGGTAGATGCGCGCCCTGTGGGTGGAATCCCTCTTCGTCCGCGGTATAGGTGACGCTATACTGTACACCATCGGGTCCGGTGTAGGAGTATGATCCGCTCACTGCTTCCGAGTTACCTAGCAGAGCAAGAATACATGTGTACAGTTGATGCAACAGGTACTTATACAGATTGCATCACGTATGGAGCATTTTTGCGGCTTTCCAGTTTGTTAGTAGTGATCATTGTTCGCTAATCATTCATTGCGAACTGAACTGGTAGCCGAAATCGGAACATGCAGTTGCCTTTGACCTTTTATCGTATTATTTAGTGAGAAAAGTAACGATGAAGAGGAAAATAAAAATTTGTTGTTTTTCATTATATATTCGTGAGCGTATTACCGATAGATAGCTGAGGTTTTCCTGAGTAAAATGAACTCACACAACACGCTATTTGGACAATTTTTTAAATTTGATTTGAAAATCGAAGTACACCCGGTACAATGCTTTCAGTAAAAAACAGTTCGAATTGAGTCATGTTTGGGTTAATTTTACTCAGGAAAGCCTCACTTACCCATTCCTAATACTTTCATGAACATATGCCCAAAAAAAATGTTATTTTCATCATAGCATCGTTCAGCTACTTCACCATCACAGGTATTGCTGGAACCGTTCCTCTATCTTGCAAGAAAAGTATCTACGAAGTGTTGGAAATAAGCTGGGTGGAAGTCACATTTTAGGAGTTGCAGTATTATTGCGTTCACCCGGCCGGCCGATTCTATTGTAAGACGGAACGATTCGAGGCCGTGTGCACGATGATGGATAGGAATATTCATAACGGCGAGAAATGGCAGCGACGAACCGCGAAGAAGAGGAACACGGGCTACTGAGATTGGGAAACGAGACTGGCCCTGGTCTCACCTTGCGGGTGACCCGTTTCTTGCGCACTGATACCATTTCCTGTTTCGTAGCTGAATTGGTAGTTGCCGTCACCGCCATTCTGGTTGTTAAACGAGACGATGGGTACATCCTGACCTGGACCTCCCCTTGGTCCACCGCCGCCGCCGCCGCCACCGCCACCAGCTGAAACAGAAATTGAAAAAAATTTTCAAAATGTTACACAACTGATTCAATCACGTTTCATTTAGAAAGTCGTCGTTTTGCAGAAGTGAATCATCCAAGTTGCCTCAGAGATTTTGACTGACTCACATGATTTTTCTCCTCCAATTGACTTTTAACCCTTAAGAATTTTGCGTTCATTCCGTATAAAAAATATCCTTGTAGTTTTAATCTGTGATATGTTTTACATAGCTGATCCAATCTAAAATCGCCGCGAGCATCTCTTAGGCACGGCAAGCTGTCAAATGGTTAAGCAACACAGCGATAGACAGTCGATGATCGACAGAGCCAAAAAAGCAAGAGGAGAGAGCATGTTCTCTCTAATAGATACAATTAGTCAGCCAGAATTTCAACAAGTTCGAACAGTACGCATCTCTTGTCCCGTCTCGTATAATCGACTTTTTATCGATCAGAGTATCTGTGCAATCCTCGTGGTTGCGCCATGCTCCAGGTGAAATCCTCGAACGTACTTACTCGAGATTAATCCGTAACTGAATGGAGCCTAATTACTCGGTTGGTCGCGACGCCGCCGTACAAAAGGAGACACACACGTACAACGGTGATGTTCTTATTTTCGCAACTCTGATTCTCACAATCTTCGAATCGTTGGATTATTCGCAGTATACCGGGTGGGGGGCAACGAGACGAACATGCGTGTCTTCATTAGAGAAACGCCTCGAGGGATAAAGTGATTAGATGGTTTTCACTTTTCTTTCGTCCCCGGTTTCACGGCATACTTTACATATTTTTATGCAACCCGACCATCTTTCTCCCTTTCTGATGCAACGTGACACAACTCTGCCTCGCTCTGCGATCGTTCGAATGATTTCCTCCCGGTGCATGTTGCCGAAACGTGTGAGTGCGTCGACGGTTCTGACGATTTCGTTTTCTGCGATTGGGTAATTCGTTGCGAGATTTCCCTCGCGAGTTTTATGGCAATAATGATTTTAATGATGTGTGAAATGTCCGTGGTGACGGCAGGTAATAGGGAGAAAAAGAATAATGTATAGCACATAACGGTGTGTGCACATTAAACGACTCTACTCGGGTTGCTAAGTAAGTGTACGCGTTTTCTCTCGGTTAGGTAATCTTCAAGTGCAAAAAAAAGTTCTACTCCTACGTAGGTTAGAGAAGTTTTGCATTTTACATTCTACTGAAATAAATTTGGCGTAAGTATCGCAATAAACTTGCCCCGTCCAAACACGATATTGGCCCAATAACGGTAATTGCAATGTTTTCACGCAAAAGGCATGAAAACGCTGTTATACCACCTTTCACCGTGGAACCTGATATTAGAGATTAGATAATAAAAAGAGGCGCAACGATGATCGAACTCGAAAAGTCGCCTACAACGAGTCTACGAAACATTCAATAAACATTAATATCGTCGCGTACGGCATTCAAGCCTAATATGGGATACTGGCTATGTTATTATGGCATTATGAGGCGCAATTTAGATGCACCGCTCGTGCCATGAAGTATAGTAATTCGATGTGGGAAAATCAATAATTCTTTACTGAGAACCCGCCTTTAAAGGATTGCAGTAATTATATCGTACATTTTATTAAGAAATGTTTTTAGAAAGTACAAGCAAGCGAAATGAATGCTCGATTCGATAAAAATCGATCATCGAACTTTGTTCGATTCAACATTTGAATATACGATTATCGAAGTCGTGTTGAACAGTCAGGAGGTATATAAACGTCTCCTTTCAACTTTTATTTTCACGTATTATTTACAAGTTCAAAAGTGATAAAAAATTGTAAAACTTACGTGCACCATAAGTATTTCCACCTCCGCCACCGAAGGGACTGCCACCTCCACCACCTCCGCCAAATCCTGGTCCACCAGGTCCTCCTGGTCTACCAGGACCACCAGGTCCACCGTGTCCACCAGGACCTCCTGGGCCACCAGGGCCTCCAGGTCCACGATTTGGAGCTTGAATCAAGCCTGCACCTCCTGCGGTGCCTGCATTGCCCGGGGGAAGGTAAGTGTTGTCCAGTCGGGCTGCGTAACACGTACCGACCACGGCCAGCAACGCGATAGCGAGCTGTTGAAATATGTTTCAGTGCTTTGAATACCGAACCTACTACAACTTGGGCTAATTTTGTTCAGGAAATTTGGAGAAGTTTCCGAGATCTTTTGAAAATTTGAAATGTAATAAGTTTTAACTCGTACTGTCACTGATAGATTTTCTTAAGCACACTTCGCAATATTTCACCGACTCTATCTAATGTTAGAAAAGAATATACAGATACAAATGGTGTTTGAATTTGAAAATAAGGTTATGTCAAGAAAAATAGATATAATTGATCGATATCACTGAGTCGCGGACTCTTCGATAGTTCGAGAGCAAGAAGCTGCGCGGTCGAAGATGCGCGTCAGTTAGCGCGGGAAAATAGTGTTGACCCGTACCGATCTCATCTCGCCGATGAACCCGTACGATCCTTGTGAAAAACGAACCTCCCCGATGATACTGTTCGCACAGTGGAACGTTCTATCGCCAAACGATGGCAATAATTGGTCTGTGCAGATTCAGGTCGAAGCAACCGTGCTTATATACCGATCCACGGATCGTCTTCCTCCCACCTAGCGACACAGAGGAAGACTCTTAGAAACGGCGTCGACTCGTGGTGAACACCCGGTGCCGCGTCCCTCGGTGAAGTTCGCGAACTCAGGTAACACGGGAGGAACAGAGAAAGATGTATACGTTGGAGGAAGAGCACAGGGGAACCGAGGGGGAGGCGAATCTATGAAGATGAGCAACAGTGAGAGATGTAGGATGAGGGGGTGATTGCGCAAGTCAGGTGATACAGATCGGCGGACATCTCTCGTCGGACCTGAAGGTCGACTAATCGGGTCGACATGAAAGTGAACTGTGGCTGGTATGTAGAAGAGCAATATAGACAGGCGAAGGGACGACAGCGTCGCCTGTCAGAAAAAGAGAGGTTACGCGAACCATCGGTTCGTGCAAGACACAATTCACGCGAGAAAAAAGGATAGAGAGCGGCGGCCTCTGATATTGAAGGATGGCGACGTTCACAGGTTGCGGTGTACGATTTAAGATGCGTGCGTTCCCTCTTTGTAATTATATCGGTCATCTTGCGTCCGACATCGCATTGGCGGGCACACGGGGTCGCGTCATCACCATCCACGATAGATGGGATGGCTTATAGAGAGCAACGCACGCTCTGCAACCGCGTGCTCTCGCGCGATCATTGCGCAACCTGGTGCGTTGCGCATCAACTCTGCCCGATGGTATACACGTAATGCATGTGATGTATCGTAGGTGTGCAAGCGTGTGTATATACGTGTACAGAGATGCCGCTCCAAATCGTCTCTGGTGTTACCGATCGGCACGTAACTCGCCGCTTAACGATCCCCCTCAGGTCACCGTACTCACGCTCCGAGGCAGACGCCTCGACGTGATCGCTTCCCAATAACCATCTTTTACCTCTCTCGTCTCTCCGATTCTGTCCGAGGAACAGTTTAGTTCCTTATTCAGACTGTGTTCACTTTTACCATGGGTCTCGATTCGGCGATGTACACAAGGAGATCGGTTTAATCTTTGCCCGATTGGAGATTTTTCGTTTGTCTGCGCAGCACAGCTCTGTGATTAACCCTCTCTAACCTATTGTGTTTGTCTGTTGAATCTCGGCTTCATCTCCGAATAGATTTGGAACTTTTATTTTACGCATGGATCGATAGTCGATCCTTTTATCGATTTTATTGTAATGCGAGTTTTGGAGATTGTAATTAGAAAGCTTTCTCTAGTATGTGTTCATTATTACGGTATAGAAACTAGTTAATTGATGTTGCGTTATAGGTGAGAAGCGCGTATTGGTGGATATGATTGCTAACCGTGAGAATGTGTTCATCTGCGTGCAATTACCGACGCAGCACCACGGGAGGGAGGAAAATCGCTCGGAGAGAAAACAAAATTGTACATGGAAACGAGTTTTAAAGTATACCTAACCCTTGATCTACAGGACTAATTGGTACCGTGTAAATCGGGACTATATTTTTACACCGAGGGTAAAGAGTATGTAATAAACTGTGTAAAATAAATTGAAAATTGCAAATCGAGGGTTAGGTTTATAATATGGAAATGAAATGTAGGAATATGCTGTGTAATTTCAGCCTCTATCGGGAGGTGATCGTTTTATTTGAACCTTCGGCTTATATCCTTCCGATAGAATCGCTTGGACATCGTGTCTCTAGTACTACACGTGTATTGCCTAAAGGGTGAGTGAAATGTGTTGCATAATCGGTCATACTTTCTTTTTATGAGGTTCATAATAAGCGTTTGTGAAAGAAAGTTCCTGAATCGGTGAGGTAATCCATCTCACTCCCCCGACGAGTTATCTCGGTGTGCTTCTCGCAGTTATGTAAACCCTTTAATTTCTAAAATCGATTTATAGTCCCGCGAGCGTCTCGCCGGTCTCCTCTCGCGTTGATAGTTCGACAAAGCGAGTGGCAGCGCCGGAGCAGAAGTAAAATCAGTTCTACGGAAAACCATAAATCACGCTGCTCTTTCCCATACATTTCTCATCCTCGCCTGCAAATCTTCACTTCGCCCACTTCACATGGATCCCGAGGCGGCGATACGAATTTTTAGGGGGTAGCTTTCTACGAATGTTCACCGAAAGTTCAGCATTCTATGAGAACTTTTTTCAAACGAATTATTATAGAAAGCTCTCTTTAAAAGATCTATTGAAAAATTGTTTATGTGTCGAAGGAAAGGAGTCAGATTTTTAGAGCACCAAATGGACGAACAATCACCGTGTGAACAATCTCTACCGATTCACATTGCACCCTTGAACCTACCGATGAATAAAGAGAAGAAAAAGTACGACTTTTAACCCCGTGTTTCCCAGGGAAAAACTACTATACAAAGGTAAGACCTAATGATCCTATTCGTGTCTCTTTAACCAACTACTAAATTCCTTAACTCAACCCAGACAGGTGACTGGTATATCTGACACTCGACCAAGGGTTAGTGCGCTTATCTACCGATCTGTGGTAATAGATTCAAGCTGAGGAACACGAGATCTCTGGGAGGAATCAAACGTAGATGCCGGGAATCGAGGGAAACGTTGGACAGAATACAGAAAACCAGCGTGATTTGATGATCGATAGGATCATCGGTTCATTGGGAGCCATTCGAATTAGCTGATGCAGGGGTGCGGCCAGCGCAAAAAACAGGGCAATCGTGAGCAAGAGCCACGATAATAGGATACCACGACAACCGTTCGAGACAATGTATAGAGAGCAGAGCATGGAAAGAATAGACCTGGGATGCTTTCTAAACGGATCGAGTCACCGAACACACCGATACGCTTTGAGAAGACCCAGCCCTTTGGCGCGCTATCCGCGCATTCATCTATCTTGCTGCTCGTGTTATGCCAGAGGTGAGGTTCATCGGCGAAACGCTTCATCGAGAGTTCTGTTCCGCCACGATGCTCGTACAAGTCTCTCCTCAACGATGGGCGCTGTCGCCCAAAAAAGGATCGTGCACGAGAACATGAAGAGATTCTAGGCGAGCAATAAGCGATCTATGTTCCGTTAGAACGTTCCAAACCCGGACACCTGATCTCTTCTGGTGGTAAAGGCCGAATAAGGCATTGCATGATACTTGTAGGAGGACTTGAAGATTTTTTTTTATCCTTCCGATGTTCCTTTCTCATTGTTTCACCTGTTGTCTCTCTTTTTAGGGACAACGATTGGCTAGGATTGGTATTATTGCACTTTTGTCTTGGCCAGTGAGAAGATCGAAACCTTTGTACCTTATTTGAATTATCTATCGGTACTGTGTATCTGAGATTTCAGACGGTACGGCAGGATATCGCAAGAGAAATATCGCGGTACGTTCATCTGGAAGAGGTTGAGGTTTAATGCATTAAGAAACGCTTCTTGTACACGTTTTGATAGGTTCGCTAATTACAGCTCTGTACACGGTGTGTATTACATGTGTTGCGAAGAGAAACAATTTCGCTTCAGGGCGGCGTGACGGTATTTCTGTAATCAGAATAATCAGACGACAATTCCAATCGACTTTCTCCGCGGTACGAATTCTAGGTGAAATAAGACATGAGCGAGCGAGTCGCGGAAGCGGCTCACACGTCGTTATTGAATAATGATCTCGAACAAGGGGGACTGTACGCATAATGCCTCCCTCCAATACCGGCTACTATTGCCTTGCTTTCTTTGTTACGATCTCTACTCTGTATACGGATGATCGTACCATTTCGAAAGAACCACGCCGGAGGTCGTCGAAAGGGAAAAAAATGTTGCGGTCTCGGCGGTTCTTCTGCCTGACTGATGCAACATCAACGTGGACGTTATAACGGCGATGATAACACAGGGAGGATGACGAGCTAGTGGACGGGGCACACGTTCGCGAAACAATCTTCGCGCAATTCCACGCGGTCCTGACGCAACGGACGGACGATTCTCGTGCATTGGAATTCCTAAATACGTACTGGTACTTTCATCCGGGATACCATCGTGACGATAATCGCCTCGACGTTCACGGGAACGTGTAAAATTTAAACATTTCTCCTTCTTCTAGTTACCTCCGGGCTACGGCCACGTCAAACGATGTAATCGACCAGGATGAGGATGGTAAAAGGAACCTGGAGAACAAAGGAGACGTTTAACCGTTGTTAAAGACCCCGTTGGATTGGTATCCTGTTCTATGGAATTCGAAAACGTATCGCGCCGATCGCGATCGACATTCGTGTGGAAGAAGATGCCGTTTCTCGATTTAAGAGGATCGTCTTGAGAGTGAATGGGTGCCTACGGTAGCGCGAACCTTCTCTCCGCGCCAAGCTGTACGGGGAAAAGAAAATATAGTTCAGACTGGTTGCATAATGGAACGGAGGCACATCACATCGGTTCGACTGAACGCGAGCTACTTTGAGAATCTACGGTAACGGCGAACGTCTCTTCTTCCAAGCGTCAACGGTGACCTTTGAAGCCGCCAGGCACCGGAGAACCGCTCGTAACAGCGCACCTCGCCGAGGGTAGGGGTGCAGCCATGCTCTAACGAAGCTGAACGCCATCAGCCCCGAGCTACGTAGCTGGATGATCTAATTTCTAGCTTGGTAGTTTGTATACCGACACCCGGACTCGACCTGTTCGCCTTGGATGCTGGGGAATATAAGAGCAGATCCTTTGAACCACGCTCTCAGAACGACGCGGGTTCGCGACGTCGGATATATCTTGGATGATTATTCCACGGCAAGCTTAACCCTTTTCCTGCCAGTTTCAAGAAGTGTGGTTTCTCAGAAGATCTAGTTCTGTTTTTTATTTTAATAGTCTTATTTCGAAATTTTATATTATTGTTTGTGGTTGTTACAATGATTTTTCTTTGTTTTTACGAAGGAAACGTTGAAACAGGAAATCACCGATCGATAGAGGCGGCACCGGATAGGTTAATACCATAGATTTTATGAAAGTTTATGCGAGATGGAGATTTCAGGGATGGTATTTTTAGTTTTTCAATAAATGATAGTAAAAACAAAGAAAGTTTGTACGTGAAATTTAATAGGGGTTTTATTATTGGTCATTCTTAACTTTTTGTTGAAAGTATACGTGAAGATGCATCTTTGAAAAATCTACATTAGCAATATTCTCCTGTTTCACATATTTAGCGGATTTCACTCGAAGCAATACATGCTAATTAAAGTTGACGTGACGTTACGTCTAATTAATAGTGATACAGGTGATTAGAATGCACGTGTAACGTTCGTGTGCAATTTCAGGAGAACGTTAATTAGACTTAAGTAAGTTATTGCGGGCCCCGTCACAGCATCTGTTTTTATTGCCAGTTGTACATCTTCAATTCCGTTTTTATTACTATTATTGCCACTAATTTTACTCGCGTGAAGTGATTTTCTCTCGAGTTGAGTAACTTTGAATTTTTAATTAGTACCAGGAAGTAAAATTACATTCTGGAGTATTATTAAATATTTAAACGGTTGTACTTTCTTAAAGACAGATTTTCCATGCTATAAGTTATTTTATTCAGCTTATTTTTTATGTTTAGTAATGTACCTTACATTTATATTTTTTTTCACGTATGAAAAGCATGTTTCTTTTTAAATTTAAATAGCAGGGCATACAACGTATTGATTTGAAAAAAGAAGGGTTGGTAACATTCAATTGGAAATGATTTTAAGCACAAAACTGCCATCTACAAGTAGCGTGTGGAACTACTTCGAAGTTCCCGACATACTTTCAAACGATTCGAATTATTTCCAACAGTTCCGAGATGCAAAAGTAGAAGTCCGGGTCTTATAGAATGAAAGAGCCGTTATTGCCAGTTTTCGTTGAAGTGTTCAGTTAGTGAAATTCGAGGACTCGGTAATTATACGCAGTTGAGTCTGGAATGGACGAGGATCAAGAGCCTAAGCATCCGAACAATGTTCTTTTATTTCGATTAGCTATTTCAAATAACTTTAAACACATTGCGGAGTCAGTGAGGTGAGTGATATTCTTTCGAACAAAGAAAAGTATAATTTTAGGAAATATTCAAGCATATTAATATAGTATTCGTTATAATTAATATAAAATACATTATTGTTAGTATTATAGTGGAACGTTTGGTGTTAAGAAATTACTTTGAGAGGTTATGTAAGCTGTCATGTATCCTGACGCTGGCGGTATTTTTACGTGATAGACGCATGCGCGTCAATTAATATTCAAATCTAAATTTTGTTTATAATTATAGCTGTTATTCCAAATTGTTTGCTTATTACCCATAACTTTAAGTATATTATAACAAATGTAAATATAATATTTTTCCAAAAATATTAATGAATGTATACTGGAAGCTCTTACGAAGACTCGATTTCTAATAAATATGTGGAAACAAGCTTTCAATTAAAAGCAGATTAATATAAACGAATATTGTGAAAATCCTATAGAACCCACAAACATGTTTCCTTTCGCAAACCCATAATATAAATATCGCAAGAGACCCGTAGCTCATGCTCCGCCCCGTAACGTTCGTGGAACGAGCGGCGAAAATAAATGAAATGTGCAAAATCTCTCGTGCTTTATTGTGCGGGACTAGAGCTGGCTAACGAATTTCAGGTTATATTGTGTTCGCGTATACTCGTACGATAACAGTACTGCCAACGTAAGTGTGTCAAGTACGAGCCGCGGTCAAGAATGCCGCTTTAATTAACGAAAGGCAAAGGGAGGCGCGAGTGTGTAACAGTAATACGCACACAGTGATAGGTTTTTAGAGAGCCCAACGTTTCGTTTATCGGCCGTAAAAAAAGAGGAGTGGGAGGAGGAGGAGGGATCTCACCAATGACCCAAACGAACCACGGTGTTACTCGATGTCATTGGCCTCTCTAGGAGTAGCATGTTAATTTGTCGGTGTTCACGTGGCCGAGCAATTGTCGGGCGCCGTTTGACCGTACCATGGGCGCAACGGGTTGATTTTCGAAATCGGCCGCTTCTCAGAAACTGCCGGTCTTTGAAATCCAACACACCAGTCGACCTTCGAAGAATTCCACGAAGTGTTCGAGGAAACAAAGGGCCCCTGGTGCGGTCACCATCGTTCGGCTCCATCATTCGTGCAGTGCGTGTCGCGCGGTCGTCGTGTTCGTTCCTCTGCTCCTTCGTTGTTCTCGCGTTAGAATAATATAATGTTGAACACGCGTTCTACAATGTATCCTCTATGGCGTTACTTATCTTGTAGTATTATTTTATTTCCGTTGCTTACATGTTCTTCGTTTAATAATCGCGTGGTTTTTTCCTTTTCTAAGGCGGAAACGGTACTGTAACATTTTTTCGCGATGACCTCATGTAGCGGTGGGAGTCCAACGTTACGTCGAACATTACCACAGACGGATTATGGAGACTCGTCTATGGAGGAGGACGCGAGAAGCGTACTCGATTAGGCCAGGACTAATGCAAATATGTAGCATTGATATCAAATTGCACCCGTCCCGGCCTGATTGTGTGCGTGTGAAGCGACGGAAGAAGAAGCGAAGGAGTGGTCTTTATGTTCACGATTCTCTACTCTTCCCACGAGAAGTATAATGTACAGTATATTTAATACGAAATCTAAATTGATTAGTTTGCATTTCTTTGAAAAATACCATAATTTTTCATGACACTTTGTAAAGCATACGAATAAATGTATTATTTTAAAGAACTGTTGGTGACCGTCTTTTAGCAATCACAAAGTAATTAAACGTTAATTGTCGATAGATCTTGGGCTAAAATAATGTGTGAAATAATTGTCTCAATTTAATCATTTTCAAAGTTACAATGTATTATATATTAATAAAAAAAAAGAAAAACCACTTATTCGTGTTTTCATAATTAATAAATGATTTCTTATTAATCATCGTTGTTGATACACGAAAAAATATTCCGGAAATTGTGCAACTCGATTACGTGTTACCATTGTATGCTTATTATAATCCTACAAAACTGGATTGGCCTGTCCGGATACTGGTTCCTCCCCCATTCAATCGCGCCAGTCTTTGTGCACGGTAAACAAAGAAAAATTTGATCCCGGCGATAGCAGAGCCACCGTATGCAAGCAACGATCATTGAATGTACATCATTCACGGAACCACGCGTTTATCTGGCGAGGTGTTGATAGAAAAGAAATATTTCTCGTTCGAGTTACCACACGTACAACAATATGTGCACATACTTTCGTTTATTATACCTCGATCTCACGTTAATGAAATCGATTGTAGAATGAAATGCGAAAAATCCAGCTAGATGCATTATCATATGAATCGTACGTTTCCATATATGTGCAATTACAATTAGGTTAAGTGGGTCTGGAGGATAATTAACATTCGTAAGAAAGTGTTATTAAGTGATTGTAAAACTTGTAAAATTTGCAAGCCTAGCTTAAATTACAGTTTCGAATATTCGTGGAAATGTTTCAAACGTTTGGAAATTTTTCTTTTGCAGTGAAGATGCCTTTCGCGAAATCCTGACGATTTTGAAATCGAAGCCGAAAATTGCACAAAAATTGCACAAGGCGATGTTCAAGGAACTGTATGACAACATGAAGGATGATCTGGAGGAAGTATTGAGCGAAGGAAGTTTAAACCAGGGTTTGGAAAAGATTGCGAAATTGTCGGATGCAGATTCTTCCATGATTGGAGATGCTTGGTGAGATGGACTAGTTATGAATATTTAATTGTTAATTTATTATTATTAGCTAATTAATGTTTCTTTGATTTTAGGAGGCCACCCGGAAACGTGTCCTTACATTTACGTTCATTGGACGCGCAGGTAATTAAAGAAGAAAGCGACTTATTGGAGAAACAAGTAAACGCGATAGAAGAAGAAAATACAACTTTAATGAAAGAAATTGCGAATAGGAGAACGAAAATAAATGTAATAAACGATAGTATATCATGGTGTTTGAATAGGTCACCGATAGCGATAGATTTATTAGAAAAAAGACTAGAAGGGTTGCAAAAGTGTCTAATATTGTTAGACAATAAATGAATGACAATATAGCAGAATTGTAAATATTATATATGCAAAAGGAATTGATAATATGTATAGATTAAAGTTTTATTTTATAATTTCAAGTGTACATAGGAATTATTATAATGAATTCTATTAGTTAGGATATTGATTAAAGTTTTGTACGTTGGTAAGTCTAGGATCATTTAGGATTCTGTTTACCCTGCCTTCTAAATCTGGCGTTATACGCATTCTTTCCACCATTTTTTTCAATTTTCGCACCCCTGCCATATTTTTTTTCTAAAAATGAAGTTTTGTAAATACTTAATGGATTATGTTCGAATAATATAAATTTAACGTAAGATACCTCTTGAATTGTGATCATTTTTTGTACTTCCATTAATTTTTCCTTATTTTTATCTGCGATTTTCTTTAATTCCTCTAATTCTTTTCTCAAGTACCTCCTTTGCATTGTTAAAAAATTAATATTTTGTTGAACGTTTTCTTTGTTAGAATGAACTTTTTCCAAGCATTTTTCGTAATTAAAATGAATTTCCTTTAATTCATCATTCACATTGTTGTATCTTCCTTCTATGTTTTTTAATACAAATTTTCCTTTATCTTTTAGTTGATTTACGTCATATATTTCTAACTCTGTACTTTCACATTCTTTATGACACTCAAATAACTCTGATTCAGCATCTTCTATCTTTTTATTAATGTCATACAAGAGTTCGGAATTCCAATTTTCTTGATTTTTATCACACTCTAATTTTGGTTTATATATAACATTATTATTTATTATCATTTCCAACTCTCTTAGTATGAAAAACTATCTAAAATTTGGCGAAATACAAAATAGAAAAGAAATGGTATCCTACCAGGTGATAATTGATTAAGATTATTGTGTTTGTAGTCCATTTTTCCAACACCACAACTTTCGACTTGCAGTTTGAACAAATAACCAACATGGCCGCTGCGGCGCCAAAGCATTCCCGCGTAAACCGAAGCTGTTTCCTTATTGGTCAGGATAAACCAATGAAAGATGTTCTTTTCGCCGGTAACTTGCCGTGATGCTCGACAGATGGCAAGAGCATTAGCTCAGTCCCTGCTACGCACCCGCTGTTCGCCATTGTACCGTGATTGCTGTTGAGTTTCTTGTTTGTGAGTGAGAATTCATCCGGTTTATCGAGTTCTGGACTTCTTCTACGCATCGGGTATGTCGAAAACCTCCTTACACCTCAATACTAAGTAGTATGTAACCATAAGTGTTGTGTGCAACGCGCAATTACGCCGGCAAACTGAGCATCGACTCGAAGGGACAACGTATACATTTTTTTGGGGGTTAGTTTCTGACCCTCGCGCGTCAGCCCTCTTCCGTACGCGTGGTCAACCCGTAGAACATTTATTCGAACCTCTTTCGAATCCAAAATTCTCTATAGTTCCACAATAAAAGTCTTTCCGAGTGTTACTCGAGTCGTTGAGGTTATACATCGAGCACGATATAGATATTGCTGTTTTTCCAGCGGTGATGTTACGCTGTGCATTTTTAGACGCTCTGTGCCGATAGCTAAGTCAATAATTTTGGCCATGCGACCGGGCGTAACATGTCCGAATGAATTTGTGTATTTTACGCCAATGTGAATGCGCGTGCACGCTGTGTGTGCGTATATACCGGTTTTATTCGATCAATTCCGCAGCCCTAGTGTATCATATAAATGACAAATTGTCTCAGACGAAACGGTACAATGCGTCGATATTTCTATAAGAGTTATCTTGCTCGATAAGAACTTCAAACTTATGTGTGTGTATACATATATACATGCGTATACATGTACTAGCGGCTTTATGCTATATTACTGCGCGACATTATACTATATAGTCCGTAACGCGTAACTGATTATAACCAAGTACGTCTATTCAGGTTAACATTATAGAACATTTCGTGCACGTTGTTTATCCAGTGAAATTCGAATCCGGAAGAATAACATTGTCTAGTATCGTTTCAACGTTTTCTCGTTATCTAACCTGTTATTCAATGCAAAGTGTGTAGTGGTGCAGGAAAAAAATATTCCGTAATGGATGACAATAATTTTTTGCCTATCACGTGTTTACTCGCATAATGCTATTCCGTACGTTGTTCCACGCGGAATATTTTGCGTTATCGTTAGGTAATGTGCGAGTGTCGCGATTAAACAGCGTCTGGAGGATGCTTTTATGATACGATAACGGTTTAAAGTGTGCTCATGCGATCAATCTATTGCGTAAAATTGTGGCGCGTGATAAAAATCGGTTTTTAGGACGCTTATGCGACGAAACATGCTCCCTCTGTGAATCGGGAACCGTGTTATCCAGCGATGCTATGGGATTTACGTTTTCGCGTGTTGACAAATGTGACCCTCTTAAGTTGTAATGACTCGATTAACGTTTCGATTCGATCGGGAATCTGTTCGGCGGAAATTTATTGGATTCACGATAAATCATGCGTGCACCGTGCTTCATTCGTGGAATTTCTGCGCGATAATACGCTGCTTGAGCGTAAAAGTAGATGGCGCCATGTTAAATTGAAATTAACGGAAACTGGAGGCTCGTTGATTTATGTAGACCTAATCCTCGATTTACAGGGTTAATTGACACCGTGTAAATCAACTGTATGTACAAATATTTTTTCGAATATTATTTTTAGAACAAGTCCAAAGTGTAAATTGTTTATTTTAGAATTATCTAATAAGCAAGATTACAAATTGCGACGTGGTAATCGCAAAAGCAAGGCTCTTCCTTATCGATTTACCTTGAGTGATTACTTTAAACGTTTCATCGGATAAAACGTGAATTTCAATTTCATTATTTGTTTTATACACCAATAAATCGTGATCACAATTTCATTCATGTTGTCAACTACATTATTCGTAATCTTTTTCCAATGAATGATATATCGTTGTTCAACAAAGAGATTACCAATTAGCATTAAACAAAGGAACACGAATGACCTTGATTGGCTGCATATGTAAATTCTCATTGAATTTCATCGACATTATATATAATTCTCTTTATAATTAAATTTTCCTCACCATTGATTACGAAATAATTATCAGACAATTGAATTAGCTAATACTTGTAATGTTGCTGGCTCGTTATTGAACGATCCCACGTATATTAACGATTTCCTTGCCCTTCTTTGGCCTATCTTCCTATCGTTCCACCGTTATCTTTAACTCGGCCGCCTATTATATCCCCGTTAACCGTTTCTGACAGTGTTTGCCAAACGCCACAGTTAATTTACCGATTACATTGTTACGTATTCCATTCTATTCGATTCGCGCGCACGCGCGTGCCTCGCAGCTATTTAACTTAGGTTCGTTTACGTTTGCCTGGTGATTTTTTTGTTTAGTTGAAAGATTCCCATGAATGGGACGGAGATTTTAATGTTTCATACTTCAATTACAAGTCTGCAGTATTATCATAGTACCCTTTTTCTATCAAAGGCGTTTTAATAGGTCGTTAAGCCTCCGTTGATCCTTAACCTACAAATTCCAGTAAATCGCAACCTAAGAGGGCCACTATGCTCCATTAAGCGTTAACACCATTAACCGTTCATCCCTCGAGCAGCAGCGAGGCTTTCTCGCCGCTATTCAATCTTGATGATCTAGCCCCGAAATCTCCTCGAATCCCTCCATCGATAAACGCGCACCACCTCCCCCATCGCGCTCCGCTGATCCACTTTTCCCCCTTTCAACCCTTCCATCCACATCGTCTTTACTTTCTCCCTGCTTCCTTCGTCTTCGCCTTCTATCGTTCACTTTCTCCCAGTCACGAATGCTAACGGTTTATACACGCTCTACGTTCCGTATTATACTTCCATTAGGGAGAAACAGTTCGAACGTACAGGATCACAATAATCGAATAAACGATGAAATAAATTTCAGATTTTCAATTAATTTTTTTTTCGATATTGCTGAATTTTTTCGATAAAATTTCATTTTATTTTACGATACAATTGTGCGAGAGTATTGTCGTTCATAATTCGAGAATCGAGCAGCGATATCGGCCGTTCCACGGGAAACGTGAGCTCCAAGGGAAACGCTGGCCTGTGATTGGTTAGCGGGATTGCGGGTGGAGGGGGGCGGTTAGTTTGGGCTAGGTCAAGCCATGTTGGGTCGCGTTCAGGTAGGGACATCCTCTGGTAAGGGCGGCGGGGATGGATTTCTCCTGGTGGTTCGACACAATGGCACAACAAAGCGTTGCCCGGGAAACTGGTCGTTCGGGGTTGCCACCACAAAACTTTCCAACTTGTGACTGCAAACACTAATGCTAGCACATGCGTTATCGAGAAAGAGAAAGAGAGAAAATGGTGGCCGCGGGAGGTAGGGAGGGGTGGGTTCACACGCACGGGTATCGTCACGCGAGCACGCGTGCTTGAGCCACGCACCGGCGTGTGTCTCCGCGCGGAAAACAATGGAAAAAAGGGGCAGAGGACACCCTCACCTAATCATTCGTTTGATTATTTTCGGTGGTTCGCGCCCTCTTACTTTTTTAATGCGCGATCATTTGACGGAAATGCAGCGTAATTTAGTATATACCACGCGTTAATCTTCTTCGTGTGGGTGGGTGGGGGATTGTTCTTTTGGATATGGCGGACTAGAATTTTGGTGTTTGTTAGGAATTAGTTTGATGATATTGTGGCAATGTCGTTGAATGTTTCAATTTGGTAATTTAAAGTTGAGTGTTCTGAATTTGAATGGTTCAACTTGATCATTCAGATTTGAATATTTTGAATTTGATTTGTTCAATTTAATAACTTGAA